GTAAGTGAGAGCAATTGTTGCATTTTATATTATAGTTATTACTTACCGGGTAAATTGTTGCATTTTATACCATTTTGGTGTATTGAAGTCCTACCCGATGAGTAAGTGATAATGTTAAATTTTGTCAATAAACACTTACCCAAATAAGTATTTGATAAACGATCCCTAAATCCTAACAACAACTAACTTTCAGCTAGTTTGCTAAAAATAATCTTATATTAGTCATCACACATGTATATCTTTATATAGCCCTCTTTTGCCTATATTTTTGGAGGGTATAACCCAAAATTAAAAATGTTTGAGGATCGGTTTTCGTTTTCGAAAAACCCTATTTTGTTATAGATCAACATAAAACTGCCGATTATAGAAATATGGTGGGCCAATAAACATTAAAAAAAAAACTCAACTCCAATCACATTCTAAAAAAAATACCAAATTTATGGACCCCACATTAAAATAACATATTTGTAATTATTTATTTATAATTTCTAAAAACAGGATTAAAAAGAATTAATGGTGGGGACCACCTTTTTGGTGTCCATATCCTACACAACATTTTTTGCCGTTCAAAGTCACCCTCCGGCAAAAAAATGGTGAGTTTGTCGTTCGATTGGAACTTTGAAAACGGCAAATACAAGGTTTTGCCATTCGATTGGAGTTGTTCCAAAAGCTTATTGAATAAGCCAAATTTTATATTACTAAGCCACTACCAAATAGTCGTATATAGTTGACCGAATAAAATATAAGTCCCATTAAACTCATTAAGTTACTAACAAACATGTTTTTATTGTTATAAATTAAATACTGTTTTCTGTGAGTTTGATAATTTTCTGTATCTGCCTTATAAACGAGGCCAAAAAGTTGCATACTTTTTGTTATGACTTAAAATAACATATAAAAATATAACAATGTATGTAACTAAAGAAAAAAAAAGTCACGTCACAAAATATGGAGTATCGACATTTCATCTATAAAGATTTATCAACCTCCCAAAATCCGGATTCTTCAACAACCAGATATTTTACAATCAAAATTCAAAACGTATTGTATAACATATATCATATATTGTATATGGTATATATTTATCATGACTTGGGATCACGCGAGACCAGACTGTTTTCGTGAGACCACTTTTTTACACTAGAAACATCATAGCAAAACGCTGTGAAGGTACCTTTCATGGTGTTTTTGTTGTGAATGTTCAACTTCTTTTTTTACCTTCACAACGTTTTGTTGTGAAGTTTCAAGTGTAAAAAATAGTTTCACGAATCTCACGAAAACAGACTGGTCTCACATGAACCCAACCCTAGTTATCATTTATAATATATATTCAGTAGGAGGAGTTCAACCCAAAAGTCCAAAACCATTCAAATGATCGCCCAAACCTGCTTTCTTAATAAATATGTCAGATCAAATATAACAGGTCAGTATTAGTATGTCCCTCCAATTCCAGTGACGATCCCACATCCTCGTATTTTAATCTAAAAAAATTATTTTCATTTTTAAAATAAATATAAATAAAGGACATTTTAGTCATTTTCCATAGGATTTATTGTGAATGGCACAAATAATTTGTATAGTGACCCTCTTTGACATTTTTTTTAAGTTCATTGACTTATTTGAAATTTTTGAAAAAGTTCCATTATCATATTCCCATGAGTAAACTACAAATTTGGTCCTTGTAGTTTTATTTTGTTCTTACAGTTTTGAAATTATAAGATGACCATCGTTGTTTGCAAAAACGTCTAGATTTGAACCCCCTCCCCCATTAAAAAATTCATCAGGTAAGACAGTTTCGTCCTTTTATCGATTTTTTTTGTTTTTTACCAAATCAAAAAACCACATGAACCGAAATCATAAAATCAATTTGTGTCTCGTTTAACAGATTTTTAACGGCCATTATAGAGAAAAGGATCAAATTTTGACATTTTTACAAACTACGATGACCATCTTGTAATTTCAAAACTATAAGGATAAAAAGTGTTATTTTTAACAAACTAAAGGGACCAAATTTGTAGTATACTCTTTTTCTGTACATACGTACCAATTTTAGGTTCCATACACCAAACAATTCCTTTTTTTTTTCAAACATGAACATACATGAAAACAAGATTAAGATTTTGGGATCACGTGAGACAAAATTGTTTTCATGAGACACGATTTTTATACTTGAATCTTCACAACAAAACACTGTAAAGGTAACCTTCACAGCGTTTTTGCTGTGAAAATCAGTTTTTTTACCTTCACAACATTTTGTTGTGAAATTTCAAGTATAAAAATCGTGTCTCACGAAAACAGCCGTGTCTCACGTGAACCTAACCTACAAAATGAAACCCAATCATTTTACTAAAAAAATGTAAGTTTTATAGTTTGATTTAAACCAGATTCGTATAAATCTTTTACTGCAAGGATAATTCATTAGAAGGTTCTAATTTCAAATACAGAAGCTGAATAAATGTCAATTCTAGGGTAGGCCATTAGTCATAACATGTGTTGTCGACTTCTATTGGTAAACTTGTTACACGCGTTAAGCTTTATATGGTCCCTTTTGTCAAATAAATCAGATGAAATCGTCACTAAACCTTTATGCATGCTTAGATTAAATGGAATAGCTATCGAAGATCTGAAAATTAGTTAACGAACATAAATCAGATAAAATACAGTGTCAATGTATACAAATATATTTATATATATATTTTTTTTCATTCATAAACTAAATTATTTTTTGAACTTTGTAGACCCCATTCAGATAAACACAAACTCGTTAAGCAATGTTTCCCTTTTTCAAACATATTATTGATATTTTTACCCAATTTATTTACTTATTAATAATTTTTAATTTTTTACTTCAAATTTATGGGTTTTGAATAACCTTATTTCATTTCTCTATTTATTTATTTATTTATTGTTTTATTTTATTTTATTATCATAAAAGAAAGTATGCTATGGGAAAAAAAATTCATTATTTATCTATTGTTTTATTTTTTATTACTATGATAATTTTTATGCGTTTTCTTAAGTGACACGTGGTATTTTAATTAAAAATTATGATGATTATCAGTATGATTTCTTAATAGGAAACTGGTTTATGGTATTGCTAATGTCAAATTGTCACATCATGTATTATGATGTTTTATAAAGTATGTTTATAAAAAAACATATAAATAATTTATTAAGGGGGTGTTTGGGATTGTTTATTTAAAACAACTTATGTTTTTTTTGTAAAAGTGCTTATTAACTTATATGGTATCAAATTGGAGTTTTGTAAAAGATGTTTGGATTAGCTTATAACGGTACCAAAAAGTAATAAGCTGATAAGTTGTTTTTTAGTATTTGACAAATTTTGCTTATATATGTAAAATGATCAAAAAAGAGAGTTTTCCATATTATTGACTTATGAGAGTGTTTGAGATTGCTTATTAACTTATTTGATGTTTTAACATGTAAAAATTTATTTTTCATCATTTATAATAATATCTTTGACAAAAATTTATATCAATAAGATTAATAATTAAAAAACAGGGTTAAAATGGTAAACTGATAATAAACAGTGTTTCATAAGTCAGGAAGTATTAACTTATCAAAAACTGTTTATTACCAGTTTGGCACCGGTATAAGCAGTTTTATTTTTCCCCATCCAAACACTAGCATTTAGCTTACCACTGGTGTCAGATTGAAATAAATCAAAAAACACCTAAAATAAGCAATCACAAACGCCCCTTACATGAGATTTTGGTTACAAAAATAGTCTAATCATTAATTAATATTGATATAATTTTTTTATTAAATTATAAATTTAACATTAATAATTTAACTCATATTTAAAAATTAGAATATATTATTAATATTACAATACAAATAAAATATATTTTTTATTATATTATTAGTTTATCATTTTATATTTTTCAACTAAATTAATAGTTGATTACGAGAATAAAATCG